TTTCCAAAAAGCAGTAATTTTTTTTTTCTGTGTGAAAATAGCCCCATTGCTGTAATTTTTATAATTTTTGGTGAAAATCTATGTCAGAGCCTGGAGGCACACATGGAAGCTAAAGAAATTGTGGTATATGTTACGTAATGTTGTTACTTTGTTTTGGGGTGGGGTTTTTTTATTTGTTTTAAAAAAAACCAAATCCAAATCATTAAAAATTTAAGTGCCATTGTCTATCCATTTCAAAACCTTAGATAAGAGATCATTCTTAATAGGAAATGGCATTCTAAATCCTGGACATATCTGGGAATTTATTTTTTTTTTCTGATCAGTGAAGAGATTCCATCAATAAAGTAAAAGATCCTTAACGTACCAGCAAATGGCCTGGTTCAAAATACAGAGGTCTTTTGAAGTATTTAATCTACCCCTCATTCTCACGGATTGACTAGAAATTTCTCTACAAACTAAGGGCAGGAAAATTCAGGGAGAACATTAGAAAAATGTTGACATAAATAATGGAATACCAGCTATTGTAGGCTGATTCTGCTGTTCAGCACCCAAACCATAACAGTCTTTGTGAGAAAAGATGGAAGGAGGGGAAAGAGAACAAATTTTTATCCATAAGAGTTTGTCACGGAGAACTTCGCTGATTTGTAATTAGACTCTTTATAACATCAGTAGGATCCTTCTCTCCTTCCCTCCCTTACAGCACACAGCCACACAGACGCAACCCCCCCAAAAAGCACTAAACCAGCCCCCAAGTTCCCACCTACTCTAAGACAGGGCTAAGCAAATAGACATTGCTGTTTGCTGACTTGATCACTACGACCTTTTGCATATTAACAAGGATACACACCTTGACAGTTAGGCCCATAGAAAGGACAGAAAGTCCTTACTTAGCTTACTCATTGAACAGCAGTCTGAGAACAAACATGAAGAAAAAGAACAGATAGTAAGAAGACCATTACTGGAATCAGTCCAGAAAATGAAATTAATGAAATATTACAAGCATATCTCAGAGAAAATGTGACCCCAGATGGTGTCTAGAATTTCAAAGGTATTATCCTTTAACAGTTTTTCTTTTCTTTTCCCTTCCACTGCTGTAGTAGTAGCCTGGGAGCTTTTCTAGAGGTCCTCCCTTCCTTCCAGGAAGCCAGGTGTCCTTCAAAGCTCCATTTTCAAGTAGTGAGGAAAATAGTATCTCAGGCTTCTTGTAGGCAGGGACCCTTAAGAGAGAGTGCCAGATTTCTTGTTCATTTCCTCAGCCTGCTGGTGTTACTACTCAGACTTAATTCATTCACTCTAATGGATGCCTGTTCTAACCAGGTACATGGAGATGATGTTGCACCTGGAATTGCAGTAGAAAACTGCATTTCCCAAATTTTTATCTCCACAAATTTGCCAAAATTAACATCTGATAAGCTGGATGGTACACCAGGGAATTACCCTTAATGTGGTAAAGTGTGCAGACGGCCTGAAGTAGTCTATGAAGAAAATGAAGAGTTATATTTCAGACGGGTTACTATTAAATGTCATATATTTTCTGAAGAATAAACGTCAGGGGAAATATGCAGAAAGTCTAGAAAGGCTGACAATAGGGAAAACAATGATGAAAATAGCAAGAGGGGTGCTGCTTATCCAAGAGAATAAATGCTTCTTAAAAAACTGTACTACCTACCTCCCCTCTGTTACGTAGCTTTTTTTCCTAAATTTGGTGCAGCAATATTTGGAAAATCAATAATGTAAATTACTGATATTTCTTGCTTCCTGGCTGCTCTGCACAGATTTTACAGAGGATGAAGCTAAAAATCTCACTAGTGTTTCTAAATAGCAACATATTCATAAATCAGGAACTGAATATGAAAAAGAAATACACACTTTCTGCAAGTCTCTTTTTCTGTGGTTACTATTAGCAAGGGTCCTATGACATTAACTCATTGAATTAAAATAATGAATGTTCACTTATTAAGAAAACTATGGAATTTTATTATTATGGCAATACATTCATGCTGCTAAAGATAAGCACGTATGTGTTAGGGCTTCTTTATTAGTCATCTTGTAAAAGATTTAAATTTAACACATTTGTGATTAAACTGAAACAAAAATCTGCTTTGTGACAAACTTTATTCTAAAATCTTCTAGTTGAGAACTCGTTGGTTTGATTTTAATTGAGAAAAATATAATAGATATTAATACTGAAGAATAAATAAGAAGCCAGAGTTGAGTAGTTTCTTTTTGCCTCTTCCTGCCATCTCCAAATTTTTACATATCAAGAAAATATTAACCCAATAAATTCAGTATGAAAAATATTAAGATCACCAAGCAACTATGTTAAACATTAGTTTGCATCCACTAGTTTGCATGCACTGTCTACCACTGGGGAGACGAAACTACTAAAAATTATGAAGGAAGTGGGTATAATTTGTACACACACATCTAAATCCCTAATAAATGGTCATGAGCAGGGTTGGAATCACATTTTTAATCCATGATTAATTGCATCTTAAATATTGCATCTGCAAACATGTAGTTCTAATTTAAACCTAAATTGAAAATAAATGTTTTCAGCAGTTTGGAACACAGAGTAAGACTCAATATTCAGTACTCTAAGCATTTAGTATAGCCATATCCTGTAGAAAGTAAACATATAAAATCACCTTCAATAATTAGGGAGGCAGTTATACATATGCTGTACTGTGGAAAGATTTCCAGTGACAGTAGTGGGGTTTGTAACACAGTTAAATCATTAAAATCTACCAAAAAAATATACTTTTGTATGCTTCAGGATATAGAAAGGTAATCAACAAAGGCAATCAAAGGCAATCAAAGGCAAAACTCTCTCAAAGTTTAACCTTAATTTGCAAAATTTCAAGCAATGACAAATGCGCAGCTGAGCACCATGTTTCCAAAGAATGGCCAGATTATATCAGGATTATGCCACGAGTTTGAGAGCCTCAGGTTCTGGGTTGTGGTGCAACGCAGTCTCTGCTGGCTACCTATACTCTGTGTAACTAGGACCAGTCGCAATTACAGGATTTGGGGTGGACTGTTTTCAGAAGAACTCAGTCTTTTTATTTTCACTGGAGGTCAATATAGAGATCCTAAAAACTTCCATGTGAAGGATGCAGGAAAGTTTTGATGTTCAGTGACTGCAAAAAGTGATAAAAGACAAGTCACCTATCTGGAGATCATCAATGCTGTATTGAACCATTAGCTCCAGATATCATAAATGAATCCAAATATATACATAAATATATTGTGTGTATGTATAAATATATTGTATATATTATATATATTATATATATACAAACATATTGTGTGTATACTCAGAATAAATTCTGAATATCAAGTCAACACAATTCCATTACATCTAGATGAACAAGAAAATGCATCAGAGTGTGTGCTACAAGAAAAGTCGTGAAGGCATGACTTTCAAACTTTTAATAAAGAGTTTGACATCACAATTAGAAGGGTGTTAAGGCAGAGGAGTAGTAAGAGAGTTCTTACAAATGTGCGAGTGTAACCAGGAAAACACAGGTTTGCAGTTCAAGAACGGAAAATGGACTAGAAAAATATTTGGTAGACACTCAAATTCAAGAGCAATGGAGTGCAGCTACAGAACTGGGAAGAAAATGTTTCTGGAGGTTTTCTGTTGCATTAGCACTGACACTGGAGAGGTAGGTCACCAACATGAAAGCTATGTGAGCATGGAAGAGCAAACCTAGCATTAACTGTGAAGATGCCCTAGGATTCTACGTAGTCCAAGACTGGCAAGCTGATTTTAGTTTAGAAATTACCTTTAAGATACAAACAATAAGGCAGCAGCATTTTAAGAAAAAGAAAATGCCTTTGACCAGTTTAGATGGATCATCTGTCTATTTAATGTTTTTATTAAAAACTTCCTCCTCTTCAAGTTCTTACTGCCAGTTAGTGTCAATTAACAAGAATTTAATCAACCTTCTTCTGCTCTCAGTAGAATGCTGTAAAAGCAATGTAATTCCACTAATTTCAATGTGATTTATACCAGCATAAATGAGACAAGAATTAGTCTTAATAGGTGCAGATTTAAGTGTATGTTCTTAAACAGAGCTTATAATGTGCCTCAACACAGGGAGCAAAATTCCTGTGGGTCACACTTGTGATCATAAACTAGTCTTTTACTCTAAGTTAGTCCAAATTATTAGCTTTTCAGGGAGAACCTTGCCGGCAACTCTAAATAGGGTTAAATATTATACAGTAGCTTTAATCATGAGTAAGCTAAATATAGAATTGCATTAGTAATTCTGAAAATAACTTCAGATAGCTAAACTATCCAATCATGTCTCATAACTAAAAGACAAAGAAATCAGTAAGGATATTGCAATAGGGGTGGCAGCATGGCAAGGATCACGACTGCAGATTTGGAAGATGAACTGCTTACAAAGTAGATAACCTAGAAATCTAACATTTTTGTACTGGAGCATTTGAATGAAAAAAATAATACTGTAGAAAACCTTGGGAAACATCAATAAACTGTTTTCAATACAAATATATTTACTTCACAAATTTAAAAGGGGGTGTAAAGAGAAAGAGGTTTTGTTGTTAAATACCTATTATAGCGGATCTCAATTCAGTTAAAATTCTTCCTTGTGCTTTTCATGTAGTCCTCAGTATATCACAGTCTCTCTGAGAAAATATCTGTGTTAAGTCCATATTTTCTGCTGAAATTAAAATTTATTTGTTGCACAACAAAGAACTGTCAATATTCAGTAATTCTTGGATTAATCTCAGGGTACACAGGAGACTAAATCAGTTTTAAAGCCACCACTTTTATTTCTTCATGGGAAAGATAATTGGGAAATTAGGGAAAGTGAGAAGTTTTAGAATAAATCCAAAGAACCTGGGCTCTTTCCATAAATATTCCTCAATAAAATACATAATAAACTAAAGAAAATGTGTTGGAAGAATTCTGGAGAAACTTCTGTCTTGACAGCACTACATTTTGGTGGAAAACAGAAATCTCAAACAAGGTTTCACTGAAGATGTAGTTCAGGTACTTCACACTCTTATTCTTCTTCAGGGACCAGACTGTCCAAAAAGATTTATCTGTAACAGTTAAAGTAGAAAAGTTTCAAAGATAAGTGTTCCTTATCCACTGGCAGTACTATTAGTCCTAGCTACGATCACCAAATTTTACAGAGCGCTCAACTCCCATTTACAAGCCTAAACGAAATAGCCGGATGCCCAGAATTACCTAGCATTCATCAACTTTTTTTGTCTGCCGTACTCAAATTCTTGATCGTGAGCATGTTGGGGTGATGAAATTCTATTCTTGGCTGCATAAATCTATGAAGAAAGTAAATTCATTTAAATTTACACAGCTGTAACAGAGTAAAGAGAAACAAGATTACAGCCTTTCAAAGTAAGAACAAAATTAAATACAGTCTGTGACAGGCATCTGAAGAGCGCATCAAAGAAAGGGGTTGTTTAGCAACACTAATGGGGAAAGTATTAGATGGTTAAAAAAAGACTAGACTGTCTAAAGAATTGGCTAAGTTACAAAAACACAGTAGACACTCTAACAAATGTTCAGGGTCCAGCTTCTCGTTGTTAGGTTGCTAAGTGATTTTCTTTTTGTTCCATTGTGAATTGAAAGGGACAAAATATTTAAAGACCTCATTGATTTACTGATAGTTTAGCATTAATCAAGCTGTCCCACATGCAATAAACTAAACATTCTCCCCCTTGGTCATCAATAAAAATGAAAAAAAAAATATTAAAAAAAAATTAAATAATGAAAATAAATTAATGAAAAATACAGAAAGACCATTCCAGTGGGGTTAACAGAGAAAAGGAAGCATCAGGGTCACCGAGATCATTTCACTGTATAAAACCTACCTGGTATTTGCTCTGTTCAGGGAGGGATGCAAGCTAAGGCTTTCAGGGATGTATCCTTGAAGATTTCTGAAAAACCTCCCCTCCCACTTGGTTGTGAGAACAACCTATGTCAGCCCACTTATTTTTCAAAAAATATAGTATTCCTGCAGTCTCAAGTTGCAGTTGTCTATTCTTCTACGTGCTGCTGCAATCTATCCCATTTCCAGAGACACGTACTCTTAACTAAGTGAGGCCTTGGCAGCTGCATAATTTAGTAAGGTTCCATAAATCAGAGAAATCAGGATATTTTTTGGAATACAGTTAACATTATTAACAAGCTTGTTAGGCCTGGTTTTTGTACCCCCTGCCAAATTGATCTGTAGTAAAGTCATGACTGTAACCAACTTCTCACAGTTAACAACTAATCCTGAATGAATCAGAACAACACAGCTTATAAGATTCCTAATTATACGTATGTACATATATTTAAATAGACATAGATGTAACCCATATTTTCACTGTATTAAAAGTGAAGGGAAGATACTGAGTGTTTAGCTATGCTAAGACTGTACATGAGCCCTGCTCACAGGTTAGTACAGTTGGTTTAGAAAGCTTGAAGTGTTCTTCTTGTATGGCCTCTGAGTCTTACATCCTTTTTTTTTATTAAAGATGCAGTTCTGTCAAGACTGTGACATGTAACTCAGGTAGACTGATTATAAAAATCACAGGGTGAAATCAGGACTTCTTAGCTATCTGAATACAATAAATATGGGAACTGGCTGTTCTACCTACTGTACACATTGGTCTGCCGTAGAGAACATTGACTTGGATAAACACCACCAGTACATGCTAGAGAACATCACAGTTTACTACCAAAGCAGAAAGAAATTACATTTCCTATGAGACACTCTTATAAGTATGTCTCTTAGATAGCAGCTATCTTTAAAAAAATAATAATAATAAAAAAAAAATCCAAGTTTACTCACTTCTCTTCACCCAGCTGATGAAAGTGTTTACTTTGCTTTTTCATATTTACATAGATCCTATTCTTCTTGTTTCTGTGATAAAACTTTTATGGCCAATAAATTATAAATCACATTTATGTATAATTTATTATTTTAAATACATATTTTATCTTTTAGCCTTTTAAACAGGGAACTATTTTAGCTTTGTTCCTTTAAGGTCTCAGTAGTTTGAAAAATTCATGAATAAAGCATGCTTCAAGCTACATTTACATTTTTATAGTGTGTGCTGTAACAGTATAGATTTTGCTTTCTACACATACACTTTTAGGTCAATGTGAGTATCTTAAGAATAAACCTTACAGAAATCTCTGGGACTTCAAAAACATATGTTTTCATTATTTTTCCAGACCTGTGATGCCTCCCTAACATACTTGCCCTTCTTTGGTCAGAAAATGAGGCTGCTTTCTAGATGCACATACACATCTATGCCGGTACCTGTCAGATACCTCCTGTAACTGATTTCTACATTACAGCCAGGCAGGATTTAGCTATTTTGAAACACAGAAGTCTTAATTCTACTCCAGAATAATTCAGAGCTGTTCTGGAGATGGATTAGTTTATCACATTATATGTTTATTTCATTCCTACAGTTAAAAGACTACATTATTATTTCAGTCATTACAAAATGGGAGGCATTTCTTTATTTCAGAATTATCTGGATTTACACAGATGCATTTCAAATTATAATTTGATTATATTATCTAGCATCTTCCAAACACCTCTCAGAGCAAAATGCAGGTGGTCTAATGAAATTAATCTGCCCTTGGTAAAATGACACATAACCTTTTTCAATAAAAAACAAAAAGTCCTACAGGCACTGGTTTGATTCAAATTCCTTTCAAGTTTTCTAAAAGCACAGTGTTGTCCAGGTTACCCTGGAACTCTGCTATGGCTTTTTCTCAGGACTGAAGTTTTTCCTCCACAAAATTTAATCTCATAAAAAATCTTTTTATTTTTTTATCTTATTTCCCTCTCCAAGTTTGAAGGTATGCACAGAATAAAAAATTGTTAAGATAATTGTTAAAATTGTTAAAATAATATATGTTTTCTCATATTTCTTAGCTGAAGCATCAAATGACTAACACAATCCGTTTTGATGAGTCACTGCACAATGTGTGAGCTGGAAAATGTGAAAACATTTCGAGAACTAAAATTACAATTTGAATTCTCAGGGGCAAGTGTTTTGCAGCTAATTAGTATTGTGGGTACTGAAAAAAACCCAAACCCTACTCTTTATAGCTCATGCAAACTCTATTTACATCTTTCAATTGCCTTCCAATCAGCCAAAAGTATTTGGCACACATTTTCAGCCTGTATGCAATAGAAAGATTCAAAACAAGCTCTGACCGAAATCCCATGGCTAAGTAACTGAGTTTATTTGTTGCAAGCTCTCTTAAAAAGGGGCAGTGACTAATAGCAAAGTTGTGCTGATGTGTCATTGCATGCAGCAAACAAGCAAAAATACTTAAGCACTTATAAGATTCATAGCTGGCCAACCGAGTACTAGGTTCTATCTTCTCTCCAAGCTCTAGTGCAGGAATCAACCATTTCTTCACATTCTGGCACCGCACTACCTTTGGAATATGCTGCAGGTTTTCTGTTTTTTTTTTTTTTTTTTTTTTTTTTTTTTTTTTTTCTTTTCTTTTTTTGTGTGTAATGGTGCACAAATACTTGACAATAAAAAATTGCAGGAGAAATCCTTCCTTCCCTTTTATGGCAAGATTACTCTCTAGTGGGAACAAAGCTCTCAAGACAATAATCTGTATCCTTCACTGACTTTCCCCTGCAATCAGAAGCAAGGTTTGTACTGCCTGTTTTCTCCCCACTTTTCTTTCCTTCTCACTTTCCTTTGCAGCTAGTGAAAAGAAAGCAGGGAAGTTCAGTGAGGGTGCTACTTTTGAAAAGGAAAGTAGGTTGGAGTAGGTATTTCCCATTATTAAATTACCCAGAGAATACAAATATTCCTAAACACAAAAGGTCATCACAATCATAAGGGGAAAAAAAATGCAGTTTGCACATCAAGCCACTAAAACAACTGTTGAGATTTCTTTTTCAGTCTTTTCACCTGGAAGAGAAAATTATTCCCTTTATTTTGCCGAACAGACAGGAAGCAAACAGCACATTCCATTGCTGACTGAACTGCAAAATCAAAGTTGACAAATCCTGGAAGAGCAAGCTACTATTATAAAGCCAGGCACGACTGCTAATGCTACCTTGACTTCCTCAGCTCGTACCTGCTGCTGCTGCTCAACAGCCCCTGAGGCCCAAGTGACATTACTCCAGATTCTAAGGCAAGCCAAGAAAGGCAATGATACTTTTGTCATAAAAAAAACCCCAAAAAACCAAACCAACCAAACAAAAAAAAAACCCACAAAAAACAACACAAAAAACGCCAGAAAAAAGAGACTGACACAGAGGACTAGACATCATTGTAGGTTTTGTGCTGTGATAAAGAAGCAGAGGAAGGGGACTGTGTTAAAAATCAGAACACTTCTTCAAAACAGCAACAAAACTATTCATGACTGTTAAATGAAGAAAGAAAGATGTGACAGAAAGTTAAGTTCAGGGCTGAAAAAACAGAAGTTAAATATAACAGTAGTCCCTGATATTTTCCCCTTTTCAATTTGTCATTAAAAAAGCCAATAATAATTATTACTGAAAGTTTTCTTATGCTGCACAGAAATAAAACCTAACCTGCAAACTTAAATCCTTTTAGAGTTTCCATTAAAGCACTGCAACAATGCCACTAAAGGGTACTTTGTGGATTTATTCTGTGGTGCTATATATTTTGAGGTACATATACGAGTACATACACACCCATCCACACATATAGGAGTGCACATACACGTATAGCAAAAGAATCTATTAATTACAGCAATCCTCATTTCAGAATGGAAAGACTGTTTTGAGAAATTTTAAGAAGAAAAGGAAGAAACGGTATATCATAATTCATGCTTCTAATGTTTCTTCTCAATTAGCAGCAACTGGTTTGGTTTGGGGAAGAACAAACACTTCTTCAAAGTCTAAGAGTATGCTTATACAAGTATCTGAAATGTCTTATGCACCGCCTTGGCTGGCTTTAGATTGAAAATCCAAGCTAGCCTTCTCTAACTGTAACTTGCAATATATCACTGTGAAAGAGAAGTATAAAAGCACAGTCATGCAAGTTAAGATTGGCATGTTTAGACTTCATCTTGCTCTCAAGGGTTCAAGGAACAGACTTGAAGCATTAATATTCTGTCTGTAAATGTGCAAAGCTCAGTTTTTGCTGAATTCACAAAATTAGGCCAGTGACTTTAAAGCAGGGTCCAAAGCTGAAAATTTCTAAGTCCTTGTAGCTCTGTCAGTTTTCACCAGTAGAAGAGGTATTATTCAATTCAGAGAAGCTCAAACTGAAAATGGAATTTAAAGTTTTGCAAAATGTAATACTCAAACTACAAATACAACACTTGGAAGAGAAATGTTAAAGATGTCATAGATTCAAACAATTAGAGCAAAACACATATTAAAGTGGAAATTATCTGCCATTCCAGAGTAGGAGTTGAGCCTAGATGCAAAGTTAAGTACCTACCTCAGGCCTATTGCCTTCTCTAAGGGGTGTGTCTCATGCTTTGACATAAGAGAAATATATTTCCTAACTCTTGTGAGGGATATGTGCCTGCTGCACCCTCCCAGTTAGCCCTGGACAGGGTTTGGCCACTGGGACAGAGTGGGAAAAACACATGGTGATGGGTGGAGGAAGATTTTTATGGGAAGAGCTGTCAGAAGCCAGGACTTGTCCCCTTGGTCTGGACACTGCCTTTTAGCCTTAGCCATTGTCCTCAGGCTGGCCCTTGGGCCCTACTGAACTAGGAACCATGTCAGTCCCATCCCATTCCATCCCAGGGGCTGCCTTCCTGACTGGACTTGGGACCTTTAGTAGCACCTGGGGATTGCAGGGCTGTGACTCACACCAGTCACTGTCCCCAGCCCAACATGGTTCTCCTTGCTGGTGGTTGTGGGATGAGTGTGGTCAGGGAGGGAGGGCACTGCACTACCTCATAGCCCTCCAGA